TAATGTACATGTACGCACTCATACATCCAATTCGGTTGACCCTATTGACATCTTTTCAGTTCGCGGCTATAGCCGGCGCACGAACGGAGTTTTGGGACAGCCATTTCGCGCGCACACACACACATTGCAGTGGCGAAGGCAACAACAACATCTGCGATATACTCTTTACAGAGATCTCATCACATTGGTTCATTTGGTGTATGTATATGGGTTTCTACGTAGAACACTGAACCATAAACCCTAACCGTCGTCCACACGCCGCACCTCAGCAGACGAGACAACAATTATGGCAAAGGTACATATCACAACATAGGAAACGCGCGCACACACACACTATTGACCCCTCAAAAAATGGCACAGCCAGCGCATCTAAATGAAAGTGAACAATCCGAAATGGTAAAGGCACATGTCACAACACAGGAAGCACACACACACACACAGAGAGAGAGAGACACAGACACACAGACACCACAAACTAATGGCACACAACACATGGCGCATTTAAACGAAAGAAACCAGCTCGGGGGGATTTCAATTGGCACTAGAAGTCAAAGGCAACGCACAACACACTACGCAAGAGAATAACTACGCAACACCGTAGCATCAGCAGAGTATAAAAAAGAAAACAAAGACAGGCAGCCGCCATAGAGGGAAAAAACACTGGAGAGAAAGGTGACTGCTACACTATCACAACTCACAACCGAAAAACCACACGCTGTGCACCAAGGGGAAAACCCTAGACCCTAAACCCTACAAAGGAAGCCAGAAGACTCACGAATCACGTGCCCCAATATGAACAACAATGCCTGCTTCACTAACGTACACACCTCATAGAGAAACAGAGCCGTGCGAGCATCCTCCACTGAGTCATGGACACTCTCCTGGATGTCCATGCGCAGCAGAAACCACGCGAGAAACCGCAGAGACACGCGACGCTGACGGGGCATGTAGAACAACTCCACTGTGTCAATCACCTGCACGTCATGACGGGAGAGAGAGGGTGAGAGAAGGAGGATACAGTATGAATAGACATCCACACAACTATATGCACATACATTCACACACTTACGTATAGGTAAAGATACACCATGTAACACAACGCGTGCAAAACAGCGACATCATAACACTCACCTAAGAGTTGATATCGCGAGAGGTTTAAAGAGGAATTATCCTGGATACACATGCACACACATAGAAGACACATTCACGTATATATATATATATATATATATGTATATATAATATATATACATATATACATACACACACACACACACACACACACATATATATATATATATATATATATACCGTACAAACACCAATATATAAAGACGCGCAAAACCAAAAATGCGTCCCAGAGGTCAAGGTCACAATCAAGACATGTGTGGTGACACGTGCACAACCAACAGAGCGTGTACCTGATGGGGCGGGACTATCATGTTGATGATGCGGAAGTCCTTCTTGAGCCCATGGCCCACAAACACACACCCGCGATCAGCCAACACGCGCAGCTTCAGATATGTCGTCTGTGGTTGCAGTAGCGATTGGGGTTTAGGGTTTAGGGTTTAGGATTTAGGGTTTAGGGTTTATAGATGTGTAATTAAGGGGCGAGCATTTGCTTTCAGGTACGTCGTTTGTGAGATGGGTAGAGGTGACGAACACAAATGAGCAAGTGATTGTTTGCGCAAGTATTCGACTATGATACAGCACTGCAGCTGCCTCTCAGGGTATGATAGGAGGATAAGTCATTTGCCCATAAACTAACAACATCGAGAATATGGCATAGTGCTATACTCTTATGGTGTGGTGTAGTGCCAGACTAACCACGAGAAGTCTTTTATGGTATA